TTCAAGGTGGTAAACAACAAGTATCTCACTTCTGTGACTTAACATTGTTATGCTCATCTTAGTGCCAACTGTCAATTATGGCAGGTAACACACTCAGGGCTGCAGAGAGTGCTTTAAACCTAGAGAAGGGCTACAAAAGTTAAAAGAGTTGGAAGAAGGAAACCAACCACTGAGAGTGAGATCTAGTTCAAATGAGGTATTCCTCCCAGCCATGTTTGATTTGTACTTTGTGGATTCTTTTGCCTTGTAAGTTAACAAATATTTTCTAACTCCTAATTTCCTGCATTTTCTGATATTGAACTGTAAATTACTTACCTTTAGGAAATATCAGAATGTGCCCCTACTAGAGAATATTATTATTTTCGTACTTGTCAAAAGAAGAAAAAATAAATTACTAAAAAAAGAGGTTTGTTATGCGATATGTAAGTTATAGATATTATAGAAAATTACGTTAGCTTCCTTACCATCTTTTCTCTATTTGTAGGTAGTATTTGGCAGAATTTTATTGTCAGTGCGTTGATTTGTTTGTATGCATCCGTCGGTTAGTGTTGCTTGTTTTTAGGATTTTGGCAGCACTGAATGGCATATTGCTAGGTTGACAAGACAAATAAGGGGTACAAAACATAATGTCAGGTAAGCTGGACATGTCCATTTATCTCTTAGTCAATTTTTGTTATAATTTTCTGCATTATGGCTGATGTTCACTGCAAGTTTGCAACTATACTTGAATTTTAGTTTCCAAGGTTTCATGTTGTTAGATTGATAAGCCTATATGTAAACCATCTTTTGCAGAACAAAAGCTAGTGAGCTTATAAATATTTTCAACAATCCTTGTTGCCCTAAAACCGTCAGGCATTACATCTTTTGCTAAGAAGGTAATCACAATTATTCAACCCTAAATGATGTGCCATTTTTAACCTTTTTTTGTATTCTCATTATAGAAAAATGATTTTTTTTACATGTTCATAAAGTTAACGAAACATAAAAAAGTCTAACCAATAGAAATGCAAAGTTGGAAACTGGTTTTACCCCAAAAGCAATAGAACTTGTTACAATGAAGCCAAGTTTGCATATCTTGAGAAAGTTCTCTGTTTTCTAATGAAATGACAGTAATGTGGCCATGTATGCACCTAATTACAATCTCAAATCTCCTTTATATTACCATATGTTAATGGTACATATATATTTTTCTCATATATCTCAGAAATCAATTGGTTCAAGTCACAATATTTCCTATAGATCACCAATTTTCGTTCTTTAATGTTTGACTGCAACATACAGTAATTGTGCTTTCAGCTTGTATTTTGAAAAATTTTATGGTCATGCATTTCTATTGTTGATACATCCGGTTGTTTCTCACTGTGAAAGCCCTGATAATGCTGCCTTTGCCTGTGGTCATGCCATTGACCTTGTAACATCGCAGGTACATCTTCTTTTACAGTTTTTTTTTTTTTTTGGTTTTGGAAGAATGAGGTTGGTGTACAGAGAGCACATGAATCATAATACCCATAAAAAATGTGCTTTTTTCCCCCTTCACAGTCAGACTTAGATATAAGAAAGTTGCTGTGCTGTAATGTGAAGTTTATGACTAGGCATTGACATCCTATAATGTTATCATCTCATAGTAGAGTCACGAGGAGTATATATTTGTAGTCGATTACTTTTTTAGAAGCCTTGATTTCCTAGGTTGTATCAATGATTTGGGTACATGACTGCTCTAGTGGTTGGGATGTAATGATGACTCAAGCCAAACTGTTAAACCTGAATATCCTATAGGTAGTTGGTTTAGGAGACTAGAGTTTGGTTTAGGAGACTAGAGTTTATTTTTAAAATACATAAATACTTATGGCAAATTAAATAGCTTTAATCTAAGTTGGTTTTTGGGGGATTTTCCTCTGATCTTATAATTAGAAATTGGATTTTAACTTAGACAGGGTCTCTTGTAATATCTAAGTTAAGGTATGTTTTCTTTTTATTATGATAACAATATACTTTTATTTTTGGGTTTATTCTAACTACTAATGCAATATAAACCTTGCTACCAGCTCCCACAAGCGATGGATCTTCATGTTGCTGAACTACAAAGAGCTTGCATTTACACTATCCCAACGCATATATCATACTCAAAGGTATCTCATTTTTCAATTTATCTAAGGCATCTATTAGTCATTTGCATTCCAATGTGCCATGCACTGGTTAGCCTAAAATGTTCTTATGGATCAGTAAAAATGCATTAATAAAACCACTGGCATTCAAACTCATCCTTGTTTCTCAAGTTGACCATGGATGATTGTATATGGCGAGATAAGTACATCACATGAAGTTATTAATTAAAATATATTGTGTACTTTTCTTGGTCTTTATATATAAATTTTTCTGAACATCTCATAATATTAAAGCAACTCGTACAAATTTGGACAATTTGATGCACAATTGATTGCTTAAGTTTAAAATGATCCATCAAGTGTCCCATTTCTTCTTATGTGAACCACATCTCTCTTTTCTTTCCAATGGTTTACGTTATTAGACTATTATCATGCATATATGGTATTTACTTTTAATTTGAAAACCTTTGAAAGTGTTTTCATTAGTTAAACATGTAGGTATACTGTTTTAAGATGTGAAAAATCACTCAAATTGCTTGTTTTCTTTTTGAATTTGTTTGAAGTAACTTATAAAAATCTTATAAATGCTGCATTATTACTAATTTTTAATATATTTTATTTTAGTATTATTGTATATCCTTATTAATGCATAATTTGAGTTTCAATGAATCCAGTTAAACATTTACACCTTTGACATTATGATGTTTATTTGGCTGAACTTTTGAGTTCAAGTTCTGTTTAGCATTAACACTCCTTTTTTATTAAAAAAATTGCCTAAGATCTTGGGCTCTTCTCTGAAAAGTCAGAATGTGGATAAATGAAATCGTGTCCGGTGTATCTCTCTGTTCCTTTTGCTGCTGCTGCTGCTGCTGTTATATGGATTCTAAGTAGTAATTTGCTATATCAGCCAGCATTTGAATCCAAAGAAGCTTACTGGAAGGTTATTGGATAACGAGAGGATGATGGAAAGATTGAAAGTACCAAGGATTATTTGAACTGGTTAGAATCTTATATGAAGCTGTATGGGGCACTGGTTGAGGTGTATAATTGTTAATCCAAAAAGAGACTAATGCTTCATTCTTAGTTATGGATGTGGATGCTCTTGCCCTCTCTCCTGTAGTGTAATGAGTCATTAACAAGGAATCAGCTAACGCAGACTTTTCATTATTGGCAGACTGATGTTGCAGGTGGCCTAAATGTTCACGGTCTAAAGGAAGGTTGGGCATGGCTTGCTAGGTTCCTAAATGCACTCCCAGCAAATATTTATACTGCTGTGGCTTTGAATGCATTCCTGCAAGTAAGCTGATGCATTGCTCTATTTACTTTTTGCATCAATACCAGCAATCACTGAAATTGGAACATGCAAGAAAAAGTTACTAAAATTGGAATTAACTCTTGTTTGGCTATCCAAGTTAAAGAACCTAAATGGCCAAAATTCAGCATTCCCGTTGGTTTAAGACTATGATCAATTGTTTACAGATGGCAGGCTTTGCTCTCTATAGAAAATACAAATCTCAGTTAAAAGAAGGTGCTGAACATCATCTCTGAGAACTTTCTAAATGCCTTGAGAGCCCAAGAAGATCGTGAGGTAAGGCCTCCTATGGCCGAGATTGAGTCTTACTTAGAAGACAAGAAATTCATTCAAAAACCAGAAGGTAGGGCTTTGAAAGGTTCTTTGCCATCAAGTGTCATGGTGCCTCACTCAGATTACCAAAATAAATATCATCAACCAACTAGATATTTCTACTAAATGACTGCACTGAGATTTTTTTGTTGTTCGTCTTTTATTAAAAGTAAGGCGGAAGTGACTTAGGAGAAAGAAGCTTCTCATGTAGTTATATAATGTTAAAGTATTCATAGTATTGGTATACAAAAATATTTGGTTAAGAAATAAAATTACATAACAAAAATAGGTATTTACGAGATTTGATCATTTTAAATTTTAAATATGATATGATGATGTAATTATACAATATAAAGGTAATAAAAAAATGATATGATTTTAAAATTTTAATAAAAATTATATATAAATTAAAAAAAAAAAACGTGTTTATATTTAATGTATTGATATAAATTTAATTTGATAATAAACACAGAACACATTAATTATCAAATTTAAATTTTACAGCTTTAAGTCTTAAATTAAATTCTCAAGCTCATTCAGAATTTTTTTCAAATTTTTATATTTATATTTTTTTTATATCCACATTTCTTTTACGATATAAATTTTATTTTAAAATCCATATAAAATAAGCATTATTAGCTGAGACAAAGTGGAAGAAATTTCATATTCACACTTTACTTCTTATTAAAATTTTCTTGAGAATAAATTCAAACGTTTTTTTTCCTAGTGCAAAATAAGCAGCGGTACAATGTATGGCTTTAGGTTTATGTTCAAATTGCTTTGACAGTGCAAAATTATCATCCTCATCTAAGCCCCCCTCCATAAGTTTTACACTATTTAGAGAGCTTCAATGTTTCTACAATCCTCCATTGGACTGTGTCCCTTATATTTTCAGCTTTAAATTGTTTGTCATAACGCCAACGTCCCAGGCTTCATTTGATATAAACGCAGGTACTGTACAGTTATTTATTAGGTTAAACTTACCACGGGAAGAGTTTTGGCAAACTTGCCACCAGCATGATGGAGCATCTTAATCGCGTTATTCCCCTCAATCAACACTGAACAAAACATATCTAGTGGCTCATCATGACACTCATGAACAACATTACCCCAATTATTTACATTTTACTTTTTATATTACGCCTAAATATATACTTATATGATTATAATATTCTTGTTACATCCAGAATTTACATATCATTTTTTTCCTTTGTTTTTCTTTACTTTGTTTTAATAATTTTTAATAATTTATTAATTTTAAAAATATTAAATATATAATATAAATTCAATTATACATCAATTTTAATTTAATATACTTAATAATTATTTTTTTTCACTACTCACCGTTATATTTACATACAAACATTTTTTTCATTGTTAATTTTAATCTCATTATTATAATATTTAATCTTACAGATATAATAACTAATCTCACCACCACTATTATTTTAGATTTCATTAATACCCATTTCACCATTCATCCAAATGGATCCAAATCCACCAAGCTAGCAGCACATACTTCACCTGTTAATTGCAGCTATATTTCCCACTCCAGAAGGGAACGCATCAGGTTGAGATATAACCCTCTCCTATCACGTTAAGCTCATCAATCTTTCAGGTCATATAATGGCTATCCTTTCCCTGCTTTTGGAAAATGAGCACTCGATTCAGCTGTTGCCAAACGAAAAATGTGATTAGGGAGGCTGATCAATAAAGCCTGATTCGAGTTTGGATAGTGCTCCGACATATGGGGCAGAGTTCTAAGTCTTCTCCACAGTCACAGCAAGTCTGTCAAATTGAAGGATAAAAAAAGTAGAGGAAAAAAAAATGATGTCAATACTTGATATATATATATATATATATATATGTAGATTATAACCTGGTAATAGCAATGGGAAATAGAGTAATTCACCTGATGTCCACAACCAAAGGCCATGTCCTTGGGATTACCAAGACAAATGGGGCAAACCTGTCAAGTTTGCGAGTAGTATCAGTGGAATGATGATGCTAGTAACAACAATGTTATTTCAATGGAATGTTTTGCCTACCTGATTATCGTAAAGGGAGCTCGAAGATGGACCTGTGTTTGCGCTAGCTGGGGTATCGTATCCAGAATAAGGAGGTACATTGTTCTGAAAACTGCTTGAGCGAGAATAAGGAGATGCATTCTGCTGAAAACTACTTGAGCGAGAGTAAGGCTTTGAGGTGTTGAAAGAAGAGGTACCATAAATGGGAGGAGGGAGAGGAAACCTTTCTGAAGTATTTCCCTTCCTTCTTCTGATTTATTAATGAAAATAAAACAAATAGAAATTAATGATACATTAATGACAATTATAGAAATGAACATGCAACATCAGTCAAATAACAAATTCAATAACTACCCCAATAGGCCAAGCTCAATAGTTGCTTTATACTGAGAAGGTATTTCCATCAAGGCTGAAAGAGCAAATTCTGCCTGCTTTCTGGATGGATCCATGTTCTTTGACATAATCTCCGTGAAGTTCACAAACTAGCAAGACAAAAAAGAAAGTGGCTTTTAGATGAAGTGGCTTTTAACATCTAAGAACATTCAACGGTACCAAAAAAAAACAAAAAAAAGAAAAAAACCAACACTGGAAGATAGCAGTAAATTATAGCCTTCAAAAGTTACAAAAGACATCAAAAATTGCTCACTTGAAAATTGTCAAAGGCACGAGCAGGGATGTTATCGTCAAACTCCCTCATCATGTCCCAAGGCCCGTCACCAACCCCAACTAGGACAATTGACAACGGGAATTCACTGCAACCAAATGACCTTGTCAGGATATATGGTGCTAGACAATCTAAAGCAAGTGGCAAGTAAATGACAGTTACCTTGCTCTAACAATTGCATCAATTGTCTTTTGCTCTTGAGGACTAAGCTGACCATGCTGTGTATCAACACTTCTTGTCACCTAAAACATTGATGAGACAAAAGTGTTGGCAAACTGAGACCTAGATTTCACCCAGACTGAAGTACAGAATCAGCAGTATTATAGATGATTCATCATAAGAGTAAAATTTAAGTTCTGTCTCTTACTGACATTTCTTAGTCCAACCAACATCAGAATGGTCAGAATGTTGAATTACCTGTCCATCAGCAATTATCAGCAAAACATGGTATTGGCCGCCACTTTGCTCAACGATGGTCATGGCCATTTCAATGATGGGTGCAAAAGATGTTGGTCCTGCCATAAGCCAATATAAAGCAGTTGCCGTAAGAACCAACTGTTTCAACTTCAAGATGTATATAACAAGAATAATCCAATGGATCAAGCAAAATCAAGCACCTGCAAGTCGAAGCTGGGGAACAATTTCTCTGTATCGTGCAAGCACCTCCTCAAATCCATTGCAAAATCTCTCTTCTGGATAGAAATTGAAGACGTCTTGATCATGTGTTGATGCTGAAAATATATGAAGTGAATATCATCTTATAATCCAAATAGTGAAATCAAATTAATGTAGAATAGTAAGAAAACACTTTTAATGAACTTTACCATCTCCAAATCCATAACAGGGAATTAAGTTATCCTCATCAAAAACAGATAAGCTCTGCCCAATAATCGATATAGCTTGTTCATAGGGATTTTGACCATTCCCAATGTGATGCAAGCTTCGGCGGTTGAATGACCTCGCACCTGGTTTCCAGGGAAGTTAAGCATGGTGCATAGCAGGTCATCTAAAAAGGTTATGGGCATCAGATTGAATTAATAAGTAATACCTGTCCATTCGTTGCTCTTTGTGAAATCAATACCCACAATAAGGTTAGAGGACTCAAGGCCAGCTTGTGCAAGGGCAGCAGTAACCTGTGATCAGCAATTTTGTTGTCTGAACATGTCATTACTTTATAATATTGTGGAGTACAAACTGTTCTACATAGATAAATAAATATTTTGCAACAGGGTTGTTAAAGCAGCCACATCCAGGTAGAAGAATAATTAAAGAAGAAGCTGGCAACCACTGCCAAATTTGTCACAAGGCAGACAGACAATACATTGTTGTTGTCAATTAATTGAATCTCCTAACTGAAAAACCACGAGCTGATCCTTTTCCAGTTCTTATCAGTCACTCCAACTAAATTTTGGCAGTCCATCCAGATACCATTTTTAATTTCTACATAATCCATCTAGAGGCTCAAAAAATTTTCAACCGCAACATATATAGCTGGCAGAAAAGTTTAAGACGAACGCCCTGCTTCGATCCAAATAGTTCAATAAACAACAAATTTTCCACAATTCTAAACTAGTTTTATGTGTTTGACGGTCGTGTTCTTCTTTAGGCTTTCATGTCAGCTGACAGATGTTCATATTTATCATGTTCATATTAACCAAAATAAAAACTTACGAGATAAAAACTCAAAAGAACTGCAGCAACAACAAGCTAACCTGGTCCAAAGTTTGGTAGTTATCAGCTATCCTTGAGTATTTCCTCTCCATAATCTTACGCGCGCGCTGGGTCGTTTGTGATCCATAATTATGCGAGGGAGGTGGAGCATAGTGATGCTGTGGCATATAGTAAGAATTCTCCTGAGGATATCCAGATTGTGGTGGGTACCCGTAATGACTCCATGCATCTGAACCACTTGACCTGCTTGTTCGATACCTTCTTCCACTGGAATCCCTTGAGCTTTTGCCTCCCATAACCAATATAATCTAAAAAATTAAGCTACTCCAAAAGTTCACTGACAGAAATTGATATCTCCTCCTGCAAACCAAATAAGGTCCATCATGAAAGTCGTTGCCAGCTGGACAACAAGAATCACCAGATGGCTGCTATATATAATTGTATATGCTCAAAATCTTGCTACCTGAAATAACCTTGATTCGTTAATCAGGAATTGGCAAATGAAAAGGGTGAAGGATATGAATGGTTGTGCAGTTATTAAAATGTAATTCTATAAATAAAGTATTTAACTGTTCCACATAAAAGAAATTTCCATGGTAACTTACTGATATGAAATAAAGACTTCTAACAAAATGCAGAAAGACTGCTGGTCCTGGTAAGGACCTGTTCAAGGGTTACCCAACCTTGGAAAGCTCTTGCAAATTGATTATTAAAAAAGAATATTTTCCAATACAGTAGATTTGATGATTAAACATTCAAGAAACTCAAAGAAAAGACAACAAGAGGAGAAATTCCTGGCGGATATTCCAGAGAAGAACACGCAATAGACGATTATAGGTAAGTAAAGTTTCATAAAAATAGAAGAAAGTGATATATATGAATTATATACGTAACATCATCAGCAAGATAACCCACAATTCCAAAGGACTCAGCTGCCATTCTATTGGTCACTTTTGCGTTCATTCATTATTATAGCAAATTGATTAGTTTAGTCTATAAAATCATATTTATCTACACGCCAACCATAGTCCACCGTAATGGCTAGAATACATAGGCCACAAACGACTTTAATATTGCGCAACGACCCTTCGATTCTGGGTCTTCGTCTTGCTTAATTGAGAAGTAATTTTTTTTTTTTAATGAAAAAAAATATGAATAAATAATGATCAAACACTTACGAAGCAAGAAGTGTAAAATCATCATGCTCGAGCGAGAATTACCGGTTCGGATTTAGTTACTCTGTAATCGAAGGACACTTCCATGTATCAATATGCTAGTTACGAAAAGCTACAGAAATGAATTTGAGCCGAAAATTTATGAAAGGATTTCCCTTTCAATATTATCAATGGAATTGTTGGGTTGCGATGAAAGGTCAGCAGGGTGGGTGGTGTGCGGGAAGTTGCGGCACGTGGAACGACAAGTGTGAACGTGTCTTTTCCAAGTGCATTTGCGACGAAATATCCATGCGGTCGATGACTTTAAGTCAATGGACCTGGGGAACCTTATTGATCCACAGGATTGTTACTAGAAGATATTGATCCGGATTTAGGTTGCAATGGTAACTTGTGAGATACAAAGTTGTCCCCACGTTGTCCGAAAACGACAATGCTTTCACCAGTGAAAAAGAGAAGGCACAAATCTTAATCTCCTTTCCATACAGGGTTATCAACAACCTTTGATAATTATTTTTATTATATTTATTGTAATTAAAATTTCAAAAATAAGTTTTGAAATATTCTAATCTCAAAATTTTCCTATCAAAATTTTTTTCTTGAAATTTTAATTTCATGCGACGCTGTAAAAAAAAATTATGCTCAAAATTTACTAAGTTTAATTAAATAAATGCAAAGTGTACATTCAATTTGAATTAAAAAAAAAAAAAAACATCGTACGTATGTTTATGGTGTTGTAATGCATTTCCATATGCTCGACCTCCGAGTGAGGTATGACAACATGCATTGATCATTGTGTTGATTATTTAAAGCCCAAGTTCGAAAGGAATGGAGAGAAAAAGAATAGTAATACTCATTTTTAATTATTTTTTTTATATTTAAGATTGTTTGAGATTGAAATTTATTATTAAAATTAAAATCTAACATTTTATTAATCATGTATGTATCTTTGTTATATCAATTATCATTATTTGTTAACTTTGATCATTGTGTTGCTCGTAAAATTTAAAAATTTTATTAATATTATATAATATAAAAAAATTTCAATATCAAATAGTTTAATTCATTAATAATTATGTAATTTATTGATAAAATATTAAAATTTTAATTTTCGTGACTATGATTCAAATTCTATTAATCTCAATTATAAAAAAAAAAAAAATAGCCCAGCTCTCATCCAAAAAGTAATTTAGTATATATATATGAATTGGAATTGTATATTTTCTCTCATTACCATGTCCAAATTATTTGCTTTTTAGTACAAAAAATCAAGTTGATTAAATTTAAAGATAAGACTTAAATGAAGTTTTGTTGATGAAATTGATGAAATATTTTTATTAAAAGCGATCACATAAAAAAATTTCAAAAATCAAAACTTAAATTAATAGAGTTTATGAATAATAGAATAAGAAGATCTACAATATGTAAAAATAATTATTAAAAATATTATTTATAATCAAAATTTAATTACTACTCATTTAATGATGAAAACATATCAAAATTTTTAATAGTGTTAATGTCATGAATGATATTTCAATTATAGTAAAATATATAATATGATATTTGAAATTTTAAAATTTTTAATATGGCACTTGACTTATGAATCTATAATATGATACTTCTAGTGTTACTAACTTTAAATAATAATACGTGATGAACAAATAATTATTTAAATATCATATTAATTAATAAATTTATAATTCAAGTATCATATTAATAATTTTAAAGTTCAGATATCATATTTAATATTTCACTGTAATTTAAGAACTATTCATTATATTAATAATTTTTAATAAAATTACATATCTAAAAAATATATTAAAGTTTATTAAAATCTTTTCAAATTTTATACATTTGATCTATTTTACCAAATCTTTTAATTTATCAAATTTAAATCTCAATATTAATTTTTATTTAATCATTTTTAATTAAATACTTCACAAATTTCATTTAAATTTTTCCTAAACTTTAAACAGTAATTTTATTAGTAAATCGGACACATTTATTGACTATTAATTAATTAATTTGTGGGTAGATCATGGCCTAATTTATCAAAGTTAAAATGAACAAGACTTGAGTTCAAGACTTTAGACTTGACCTAGGCATCGCATTCCATACTAAAAAAAAAAAAAAAAAAAGGAGAAAAAATCAACATTCTCGGATGAAAATTTCCTAGCTAGTTCTGGGTCAAAAGGTTTTAGGACAGTGATGAATGACTTTTCCTTTTCTTGCTTCTCAGTTTTCATCATTTGGCTTTGGACTAGCTAATTCTTTTCCCACTGTTTTTAAATTTGTGACGAAGTTCATTACAAAAAAAAAAAAAAAAGGGGGAAAAAGTCTACACTCCATTTTTTGATTTGCTCAATTTTCATTTATTCAAAGGGGAAAATTATTCAAATGAAAATTAATTTTTTTTTTTATAAATGTTGCTATTCCTACTAAACTTTCTTACAAAATGTCTTCATATTTATTTAGTCCATGGTTTGTTAGTTTTGCCATGTTCATAGTCAATGATATATTAAAATTAAACTTAATGCGTGAAGAAATTAATTTTGTGTTTATAATTAAATTTTTAAAGAAGTCAATCATAAAATACAATTATAATCACATCACACAATGAAAGGCATCTTTAATTAAGAGGTCATGTTGATAGGTTTCAGTCATATCAATGATTTTAATTTGATCAAATTAAAGTACATTATTATAATATTTTGAAGTAAATAAAGAGAGAATATGTTCTTTTACCAAAATACCTTTATGTATAATTAATTTTAAACTTTTTTTTTTGAAAGGGTTACAATTTTTTAATAGAAATAAAAGAAACTAGCTGGCTCCCATACACTAACAATTGAAATTTAAAAGTCTGATGAAATGAGATAACAGAAATGCTTAATTATGATGAAATTTCTTAGGTTGCATGGCTCCAAACACTCCAAGAATAAATGCTCTTCATCTACTTTGAAAGGTATATCTATATTCTAAAATAATGTGGTGCAATTTAAAGGTAATGTTTATAAAGCTTATAAGAATTCCTTATAGAAAATCATTCAACAAAATACAAATTGAATTTGACACTTGTAATTAATATATCTCAACCAAGATATCGTGTGTGTATATTCATATATATATATATATATACATATTTTTTTTGGATTTGAAATTTTTGATATCTGATAGTTATTTTAGGTTTCGATTAATTCAGAATCGAATAAATTGAATTTTATAAAGGGAGTAAGCTTTGTCAAATTTATTTTTTCTATTTACAAAATTCAAATCAAAACTTTATTTAAGAAAAATAAACTCCATGCCACTCAGACTAACAAGGTTGATATATACATTCATATATATATATATATAATGAATTATCTACTTATGCTATTATAATTCTTATATATATTTTTATTTTTAAGTCAAAATTAAATTTATAACCTATTCAAATCAAATAATATCTTTAAATTTAATAATTTTGATATAAAAGTTTAAAAAGATATAAAATTATATTAACATAAGTGGATTCATTCTCTCTGTATACATTTGATGAAAACAAAAAGTTTAGATAGATGGAATTTTTTCATTTTAAGATCCAAACATATAACAAGATTCGAAGAAAACTTACATTGAATTTATATATCATCAATTAAAAAAAATTGTTGACAATGAAACTTGAACTCAAATTTTATAAGAGAAATATTTAAATTTTATCAATTTTATCCAACCTCCTTTAGCGTTAAATATATATTTTTAATATTATATTTAAGTGAATATATTTATGATTCTAAGATATGATAAATTTTTTTCTTGTTAAAAAACATTGCTCTATTAAAATGTTGTTTTCAATCAATCTTTTTTCTAAGTTGCTAATCTATTAATTCAATGGATGTTATCAATTTGCATATTTGTTTAATGGTTTTTTAATTAAGAATTTTATCAATTTCATTTTAAAAAGTTTTCACCTATTGAAGATTTTTAAAGATATCGGCTGAGGGAGGTTACAACTGATTGCAACATTCCACAGAGCATCCTGTAATGATTGTCTCACAAAGTGGGTGAGTGTGTGTGGCCAACTTTATTATTGGATAAGTGACTCCCAATTTAATAATTGTGTACTGGCTTTCATTACGGTCAGTTCTCAAATTTCAATACACAGGGAGAGTAAATTATATATTTGATTATTTAATTATTTGAGATTTTTTATTTTAATCGATCAATTTTGAAAAATATTGTTGTTGTTATCAATGTTTGGAAATTTAGAAATATTATTATTTTGATCCCTCAATTATTAAATGTAAAAAATGCTATATTTTATGTAACAATGTTTTGCCAAGTGTCATTGTGGATTGCCAACTGTAATAAAAACAACCACTGTAAGTATTACTAAGAATTATATTTTGCAAAATTGAAAAATCAAAAGGACTATATATATTATATATAAATTATACACTATATAATATTTTAAAAGCTTTTTTATTCAATTTAATTCTTATATTATCAGTTTATATATATATAATTATCAATATTTATTAGTTCGAGTGGTAAGAACTTAATTTTTTTAAAGTAAAATTTTAATTTTGAGTATTATGAATGAAAAAAAATAAATTTAGAAGGGTTTGCTTCACTTATGAGATTTGATTCAGTTCAATTTTAAATTAATCAAAATTTTAAATAACTATTGGACATAAAAAAATCTTAGATAAAAAAAT